GGGGCTCTGGGCCTAGAGTTTTTGCTCCTAGTCGCCTCCGCCATTACTCACAGTTTGTTGCTCACCCACGTGCTCCTTCTGCAGCCGGCTGTAAATAAATTCCCTTCCTAGGTATAGGATCCGCTGCTCTCTGATCGCTTGCAGGTTCTGTTGCTGCTGCCGGCAGGCAAGGCCCTGAATTCTCCCCCCGGATCACCGGCGGGGCAGAGCAGAAAGTAAGCCTCTTCCAGCTTCCTACGGCCTCATGAGCGCTTTCGGCGTCGGAACGCTGTTTACGCGCTCCCACGTGCTCCTAAGATGGCGACGATTCAAAATGGCGACTGCTGGTGCCGTCTGGAGTCTCCTTCCTCCGCTGGAACCCTCTTCGCAATCCTGGAAGGGTTCTGGGTTCTCCGGCTTCCCTGGACTCCTCCGATCGTCGCCTGGAAGTTTTTCTGTGATCCTGGGCCTTCCTGGGGCTTCCACCCCCTTTGGAAAAATCGGACGGCCCTGCAGGGCTCTGCGCGCGCGCGCTGGCAAGCCGAGGCTTGAATGAGCGGCGTGGAGCACAGCAGAAGGCAGGTGAGTTCTCTTTAAGATGAAATTCCTTGCTGAGGCTTTGTTGAGAGTAAAAAACTCCTGAATCTCGGATAGAAAGGAGAGCAGGAAAAACACTCCATTCAGGCCGAAGATTGAGGTTAAAGTGGGTGGCCACCGGAGGAGCAGGAGGTGTGGCTTCCAAATATTTCCTCAATCTCCAATAGGCAATCAGATTAGGTTAATACCCGATGGTTACTCCTCCCACACCTTCTCTTTGGAAACCACACCAGTTAGAAATGTTGGAAAAATATGTTAGGTTGAACTGTTCATCCCAAACTCAAAATGAAACATCTTTCCAATTTATGTACACACATTTTTTTTTCAATTTGCAACTTTTTTAGAAGTTGCAGTTAAAATCATGATACTAGAGATGCACAAAATAAAACAGAAGTGAAATGTGGAAGAAAATGCAATCAAGCACTTGTTTTTTTTAAGTGAAATTAATGTAACTTAAATATTTGCTTAAATCTCATCATTGGGATTCCCTATATATTTTTTTCTACAAAAACAGTTCAGAGCAACCTCACTGAACTTTCTGTAGAACAGGATACAGTTTATTTTTTCTTCCTGAAATTCTTTTCTTGCTAGCTCTGTATTGTATAAATGCAATTTTCTTGAAATAGAAAGGCAAAATATAGCAACAATGGAGATAGTTTTCAGATGAAAGATTGCAAAGGGGAAAGGGGTTCACATCCTCCCCATGGCATGTCCAATGTCCCCGCAGCTCCTTTTTGAGGGGAAAAGAGATATGATCAATATCAAGAACATAATTTAGAAGAGGCTTAGAATCTTATTTAACTTGACCTTTCATGGATACACATTAGGGAACTATGAACTGCCGCAGCTATTTTTAACTATGGGTAGTCTTACCATAAAAAAGAATCATAGAGTTGGGAATGGCCATTAAGGGTTTATTTCCTGTTTTGTGCAGAAGTACAATTTAAAATATTCACAACTATTCTGTGTAAAATTCTCTTGTTTTGCTTGAACGCATCTAATTGTCTAAACAGCTGGTTCCACTATTGAACTGTTCTTACTCTTTGGAATTATAATTATAATTGAACAGAATTGAATGGGACCTTGGAGGTCTTCTGGTCTAACCTCCTGCTTAGGCAGGAAACCCTATACCACTTCAGACAAATGTTATCTAATCTCTTCTTAAAAACATCCAGTGTTGGAGCATTCACAACTTCTGGAGGCAAGTTGTTCCACTGATTAATTGTTCTAACTTTCAGGAAATTTCTCCTTAGTTCTAAGTTGCTTCTCTCCTTGATTAGTTTCCACCCATTGCTTCTTGTCCTGTACTCATGTGCTTTGGAGAATAGCTTGATTCCCTCTTCTTTGTGGCAGCCCTGAAATATTGGAACACTCCTATTATGTCACCCCTAGTCCTTCTTTTCATAAGACTAGACATATCCAGTTCAAACAACCGTTCTTTATATGTTTTATGTTTATTTTTTCCCCTAATATTCAGTGAGGGATAAATCGGATGGTTTGTTTAAAACATTTTTATCCCACCTTTATTTTTTTTTAAAAACTCAAGGTTAAATAACTCAAAATGCTTAACATTCCTTCCTATTCTGGTTTTCTCTACACTAAGGTGACCAGATTTTCAGATTGGNGGAGCAGCAGGAGGTGTGGCTTCCAAAGATTTCCTCAATCTCCAATAGGCAATCAGATTAGGTTAATACCCGATGATTACTCCTCCCACACCTTCTCTTCGGAAACAGCCAATAAGATACACACCGTGAGCCACCCCATGTTTCCTTACTCACTTCCAGGCCAGTGCTTGTCCTAGTCCTGGGACAGACTCACTGGTACTTTGTAGAATAAGCTCCCGGCTCCACACTCTCACTTTTCGAGCTCCTGATGTTTGCAGAATTCCCATAATTCCCAAGGTAGAGGATGAAATAGAAGAACCCACGAACGGATGAAAGAGAGGGTGAGAAAGAAAAAGAGAGAGAGAGAGAGTCATTGCAACTCGTAGAATTCCCATAATTCCTTATCATTGTGGTGAGGTATCATGGAAGCGGTAAATCCCGCACATCAACCATATCAACCATATTTTTGGGGAAAGCTGCATCAAAATGTGAATACAACCATGGGACTTTGGAAGATTTTTTTTTTAATTAATATTTTCCTTCCTTCATCTGCTCAGCCAAAAGCTGCAGGAATTAACAAGCTGTTATTTTAAAATGGTACTAACCTGTTCCTGGGCAAATGTCACTCACTGCTACATATTGTCCATCTCCTCTCCAACTGATCCGAGGTTTATGGTCATCCCATGGTAAAGCAGGCAATATTTCCTGAAAAAAATCATGTAAAATTATGAAAAATGTGGAAATAGATATTTTTAAACACATTGACTGAAATCTTATACACATCACAAGATTTGATTAGATTTTAGGTGTTTTAAAATTTAAAATTATTAAAGCTTGCAACAGTACTCATCACCTGTAAAGGGTGATCCTCGATATATGTAACTTGTTCGTAAGGACCATTACCACCTAATTATTCTTCTTTAATATAATTGTATTTCTATTAAGGGTTGGCATGCAGGCTCAGCTAATAGAAAGCCCAAGCCAAATATTGCCTTAAGAAATATCAATCTTCCCTAAATTCTCATTACATTCAGTAAGCCTGGTAAAATAGTAGTCATTATGGAATTCAAATCTAGCAAAATTTCACCGTAGGGGAAGTTACAGGGTAGGCCTACCATTTGTGATGTTCTCTATATCTAGGCACACAAATTTCTCACAGGGATCTTAGATGCTCTTGAAGGGAACAGTATTAATTAAATATTGATTCAAAAAACTCTCTTTATCCCCACAAGTCAGTGAAGTAGCAGTGCAAGATCAAACATGTGAACCCATTCACATATAATCTTACATACCATATTAACACCTATTAACCATATTAATATGGTACTTAGCACCATGTGCACAATCATTAAAGTGTCACCTTAGGCATCTATGTTTTTTTATTCTCCCAGAAGCTGCCTTTCATTTTACTTTCTTGAATTCTTGGCTTGACATTAGGTGTAAACCAGGAATCACAATTTAAACACACCCATTAAAATGATTTGTTGATGGTTTATTTGGCAACTATTACGTATATTCCTGATCTGAACAAAAGTGGCAGGAATCAAGGAAAATAAAATTAAATCATAGTTGACATCTCCTTCTGGTTGTATTCAAATACAAGGGATAAAAAGCACATGAACTTAGGACTTAACTTGGACTTGCAAAAGTTTATGTATTAACATTAAATCCTGAGCCATCATTAAATGCAAATTCAGCTGTGCCACTAAATCAAGATCAGGCAGTGAACTTCATTGTTACTAGAAATCTGAATGTTTTCTATCCAAGTTCCAAACTCTAATCACTATTACAGTTCTATAATTTACTGCATGTATTTTAATATTCATGTCTACAGCAAAAGTGCATACTTGTGCATCATTATAATTAATTAAATGTTTACATACAGAATCAGTATTTGCATTATTAAAAACATAGTACCTTTGGCTTGCTATGAGCAGCTTGCTTGCCCTCCGATCCATGAAACTGTGTTTCTTTTTTACCCCATCCAACAGTAATAAATTTGCCTAAGAATCAATCAAATAAAGAGTATTTGAAGATTAACTTTTCATATATTTGTCAAAAACTTACATCCAACTTTTTTAGTTTCCTTTTAACTCTCCAGAGACTACTGCATAACAAATTTAAAAAAAAATCTTTAGACTAGTGGTGGAGAACCTATGGCACGCGTGCCAGAGATGGCACACAGAGCACTCTCTGTGGGCATGCACGTCATCGCCCGAGCTCTGCTTTGGGTCTTGGCCGCACATGCGTGTGCACCCTCCCACCAGCCAGCTGCTCTTTGGGTCTCTGCCATGCGTGCACCTTGTAGTTTAGGTGCGCACAAACACTTTGAGCAGTCAGTGCCTAAAAGGCTCTCCATCACTACTGTAGACAACAAGTTTAAAAAGTCCACTCCACATTCACTATATGCAAGTTCATGTTTTTATACTTGGTAGATTGCCAGTCAGACTGATGGCAATGTCACATGTATGTAACAAGTGACTATAAAATGTTCCTCTCTTTAAACTTACTGCTCTGATACCAATGAACACATAATTTTGGACTTCAACCCATAATAATTGATAGAGCAGCTGGAGCTAGTTTCTTTCAATTCAATTTCTCTATGTAGCCCAGCCCTTCCCAGAATTGCAGTAATGTATTTTGTAAGATTCTAGCATCTGCACTACCACCTCACCTTCTCCAAAATCATCCTGGTGAATCTGTCTTTCCGCAATTGGTTCAAAGTCTCTTGTCATCAAAATCAGAGTCTGCTCACCTGTCAGAAAAGGTGTATATAAACAACTTTGAAATTAAAATGTTTAAGTGCAGTTGTAGAATCATAGAAGGAGGCATCTTCTAATTCTCAAATCCAATCCCGGTTTAGTTCAGATTAACTCTTCCTTGAAAAATTATCTCTTTTCTTGACAGATATCTAGAAAAAGGGAGCCCTCCAATGCTGTCCACATCAAAGAGGAGAGAAATGTGGGTGCCACTATGGTTTCAAGCCCATCCCTTTTTATCTATGTCAATGTCATACAAAGGGGAAGAGCTTTGAATTGTGGATTGTACCCACCATCTGGCCCTTTGGCCCTGCCTATTTCTTTGTTGACAGTTGCGGTTAAAGGTGATATTAATGCACGTCATATGAACCCACTACATTTTTGGCAAACAAGGAATAGTTAATACATATCAATAGCTGGTTACTATTTTGTAAACCATCAGATGCAATGAGCCATTCTCTGCCAGAATGCAAAAGACAGAAAATAAAGTTGAGAATGTTTTGCATTTTCGATTTGTACCTGTAGCAAGAAGAACAAGTTCTTGGTCAGGACTCCACTTCATTGAGGACAGGCCACTGTCCACACTGCCAACACATTCCAGCTGCAAAAAAATAAGATTTTAATACTGTTTGTATCTCTTTAACAGCAACCAACACAAGCAATCAAGCAAATTACATGTTTTACTTCAATCATTTTCAAGTTAGAGTCAAATACAGATGAATAGTGATCACACTCTAGTCCTGCAATACTACTATTTCTGTAGTCTTGTATAAGAACTTCTCTGGCAGATGGTTAGCTTATCAGATTAGGAAAAAAAGGAAAACATGTAATTTATCTAAACTGATTTACAGAGGGAAGGAGGTGTTCCAACAGGAAGAGATTCAAAAGGCTTTCTGGGAATTTTTTACAGAACTGTATAAAGGGGATAAAATTAATGGTTTAGACATAGACATAGACAAATATTTAGACAAGGAGAAAATACCTTCAGTTAGAGAAGAACACAGGCAAAAATTGAATCAACCAATAACCTCGGGGGAAA